TTCTTTACTTCCTTATTGTATAAAGTATAAATACTCTCGTAACCCTTTTGTTTAATATTTTACACACACACACACACACACACACATTTATATATATATACACACATATCCAGAACAAAGGATCTTTCTAAAACGAGACGCCAAAGGGTGACCAATGCTTTGACACTTAGTCACATGTTGGTCAATACCCGAGTTCGTGGGTCTGGTGAAAATGAGCATATAAAGTTAAATACCTTAATAAATGATGTAATGTTAATAACTGATACAGTGTTTGTACCGATACTTTGATTGATAGAAACAAGTAAAGCATTCATTTATGCAAAACAGACAAACAAACCAGAAATTATATATATATCAGTATCTTTAAAGTTTCTTACTATCTTTTATCATAAGAAGACTTGTAGAGATATAAAAATCAGACTTTATACAATAAGGAAGTAAAGAATGATGTTTCGAAAATGTTTTGAAAAATTGTTGCTAGATATTAGACGAAGATTTCAAATACTGAATGTTGCGGTCATTGACAACCACATTACAATGGTCAGTTTTGATTATCTATCATTAGCAATAGGTTTATTTTGCAACTTCTTTTTTAATCAAAGACAGGACAAAGGTTTTGTTCGTGTAAACATTTCCATTAGGATTTATTACACTGACAATCAGTATCATATCAGTTACATATAAAACATACAAATTGTCTAAAATATCATGGGAACATCAATCACCATGTTGGCATTTCCCTTTTTCAAAAACAAAACACTCTTCCATGTATTATGTTACAAACTTCACAATAGTATTTGTTGATATCAAAAATACACGTGTCATATATCCAGGTAGGTTTTGGTTTCTTTTTCTTTTCAAGATGGTCCTTCTTTCTTTGTATTGTTACTGCAGTTCCTATTAAGTCGTTTTCTTCAGATCAATAAGAAAATAATAATATCACCTCTATATTTTATAAAAATCAGAATGACAGCATTTATGTATACAGGTTTCTCATTTTAATACTTAAACACTATAGTACATAATGAATATAAACTGAATAATTAGCTTAAATCGATTACTATACGCTGAACAAATGTACCTTATCTTACAAGTACTCAAGAAAAAACAGTTTGTAATCAACGATCTTAGTCGAAGTCATCATTCTTGTAACATGAGAAATAAATGAAAGGGACTCACCTTATATAGATCATGTTTGAGCGTACTTGTGATCTACCCCGAAGGCCCTGCACATGCCCTCTTTTCAGTCCATAGACCATGTCGAGGAGTTAGTTCCATTAGATGGAAAAGATCGATATCCATACGGAAATATGTTAAAGTCTGGAAGTATGTATCGTTTGGTGTGAACTGAACAATAATTGAGTCAGCATACAATTATTACATACTGTGCTAGAAATACTGTCAGCAGTTAAATAAGTTTCAGTCAGTTTAGAACAATTTTTCAAAACGAAAATTCTATTCAATTCTAATTTATGATATTTACATAAACGTGTAAAATATGTGAGATTTCATTATATACTAATGTCTAATTATTATTTTAAATATCTCATGTTAGAGTAATAAAATAAACATTTAAGACGATGATTATACTAACTGATGTTTTTTTTAAGTATGCATGATAGTATATTAGGCTATGACAAAAACTGATTTGTACAATTCATGTTACCAAAAACTTTAAATTGATCACTTGGTTTATAATTTAGGGTTCTTATGTGTTACAAAAACGTTAAAATAAACATATAAAATGAAAAAAAAACTTTGATTATTTTGGATAATATTCTCCTCTTTAATTTATGATGATTTATTCTAGTTGACTAATAACATCCTAGAACAGTTATTATTACTACATTGGACATATTAGATTTATGAAATCTTTTTTTATGCTGAGATTATGTGGAGGATGCAAATAGATGATCACTGACAAACAAACCTCCAAACTTCTTTGCGTACACAAATCTTGTGAATGTATGGAAAACATTTCTAAACTGTTCATAGCTTATTTCAGGAATACAGAACGAAGAAACTCTCTAAGAAGTGACGTTTAAGGGTAAACACTGTAACTAATGCTTTCATTAGTCACATTATCACTACTTGAGAAAAACAAGTATTTCGTTCGTTTATACAAAACGGACAAACAAACCATAAATTCTATTTCAGTATCTTTCAAGTTTCTTACGATAAAAGACAAGAAAATATATATCTTTTATTTCTGTGTTTACAATGATAATAAACACACACACACACAGACGAACACGGTCCATGCAGTACTTTTTTGTTGTTGTAAGTTTAGCTCCACAGTTCTGATACTATATAGTTTTATCTTATACGAGTTTTACAAGGGTGAACACTATACTTCCACATATGATCAGTGTCTAGATTTGATTACCATTATTTAACGACTGCACGGAGGATTTCAACAGATGTGCTGTTATCCACTATTTGAATGAGATCATAATTTACATTTCACTGCATAATAAATTTATTTAAACATTATTATAGAATAAAAACACATACCATTTTTGTCGTAAATATTTGAGGGTTGCACTTTCTTGGACATGTGCAAAAAGAAATATTTTGTTGAAAATAGTCAAACTAGTGAAAGTGTAAATTTTAATTAATGCATGATATCGTCATTTTTAGAATGATTTACATATAAATGATCAGGAAATATAATTAACTAATGAATTAGTGTTAAGCGTCCATTTTTGGATAATTTAATTAACTAATTAATTAGTGTTAAGCGTTATTTTTAACATGATTAAATTATAAGTGAATTAGTTAACTGATGAATTAGTGTTAAATGTTTTTAAGACGATTTAATTGTAAATGATTTAGTTAATTAATAAATTAGTGATAAGCGTCCTTTTTAAGATGATTTAATTGTAAGTGAATTAGTTAACCAATGAATTGGTGTTAAATGTTTTTTAAGGACGATTTAATTAATTAATAATTTAGTGATTTAAGCCGATTAAAAATCTCATGTTGAGATACATATCGTGTGTGTCAGTGTATATGACGTCATGGCCACCTGTCATGGCGGTCTCTGTTTTCGTTGAACTATTACGTCAAAGCTGTCTGTGTGGTATCGAACTATTTTTACATATCTGTTTGGAATTATGACAGGCGCCTAGCAACGTGCCTCTAACAACACGCCATCTGGTGACAAGTTATAGGACTATAAGGTCGTGGCCGCCAGTCATGGCGGCCTAGCAACGCGTCCATATCAATGTGCCCTCTGGTGATAATTCGTGAAACTAAAACGTCATCATCTTTGATAACATCATTTCACACCCACTTCCTCCTCCCCCCCTCCCTGAGAAAGCCAATCAGCGTGAGGCGACATCCTTTGGAAGTGCAAGTACAGGGATAACTACTTTGGGTTCACAGTTCGAGCACACAACCTATAAGCAACGCCGGGCCCACTACTGAACTAATAGAATATGTAGATTGGTTAACCTCATAACTTTGTAGTTTATATAGCGGTTTGCTAGAATAAGAGCACACAAACAAATATATAATGGTAAATACGTAAAGAGGCAGGTAATCATTTTATAAAAGGTCTGCTCATAGAAAAACAAGTACTAATTTGTATAATGCGGTACCCGTAGAGGGCCATTTTAATTTAAATATAGTGACGTACTTGTAGAAAGAGACATGAATTAAGTATATTGTAGATTGCTTGTATAGGGGCGCATAGTCAATTATATAATGTGCACTGTTAAAGATTGATTTCTTAAAACTAACTGTACTTCAATGATAGTAAAACCAACTTCAATGTTAAAAATTTCCTTACTTAATATAGAAGGATTTGTAACTTTTAGAAATGTTGGAACTGCAAGATTTTCTAATTTTTCTATTTTTTAATTAAGAGTCTGGAAAATAGTTGGAACTAGATTTCTAGCCTATGTAATGAGTGCCAATCTGGGCTGACTCTTCCTTCTCACGGGTTGCTTTGACCTTAGTAATACATACTTAACCGTTTGAGATTATTTGGCCGACTGTCACGTGGAGTGGGAGAGCTGTCTATAACCAGATCATGCTGAATGTGATTGGTTTGTCTATCAGTAATCATGTTGTTTGTAAAGACCGTTTAGGCTTTTCATAAAAGGGTACTTAGGGGTTTGAGACAGATTTGCAAGCAGTCTTGTCTGTTGTAATCTTTGACTCCTTTTTCGCTTTTCAAGTATCAGAACGTGCGCTTCATTCCGCTTTGATTCTAAGCTCAAGTTTTATTTATGTCTCTTTACTCTAACTCAGTTTACATTATTTCTATTGAATTATGTTTAATTAAGTCTCACCTTGTTCAGTGTTGAATAATGCAATTTAAATTGTTTGTTTGCTATCTGTAAATACAGCATCGTGTTTAGCTAAATCCTGTCTCATCTCAATTAATTTGACAAAAGTCGGTTATCGTTTTGCGGATCATTACTTATCCGTGCGATATCAGTGCTCTGATTAACAGGAAAGAAGGAGTACAATATTTCTATCGTTAAAATAAATATCAATTTCGCTCCCTTGTTAACAAAATCATGCACATGGAAGAATGTTTTAAGAGTGAGACTTCACTGACTGACTTAGCCCCAGCGAATGACACGTGCGTACAGTTAGTCGTACAGATTCTCCCTGTGCCAAATATCATATCCACCCGTCATTGGTAAAGTTGGTTTTTAGTTTACTTGTAATGTTTGATTCATGCAGATCTAATTATTGACTCATCAGCAGGATAACAAAATTCACGGTATACAAACACACACATATATACATATATATAAACACACACACATATATACATATATATAAACACACACACATATATACATATATATAAACACACACATATATACATATATATAAACACACACATATATACATATATATATAAACACACACACACACACATATATACATATATATAAACACACACACACATATATACATATATATAAACACACACACACATATACATATATATAAACACACACACACATATACATATATATAAACACACAAGAATAACGATATAGCGTACATTTCTTTGACTTTATTTATGGAATTCCCCTTGTTAAACAGTTACAGTTCGAATACCAATGTGTATTCTCATAATCCTCATCCAGAAATACCACACTAAGACGTTTCCTAACTTATCCTAATAGCATATTCTTGAAAAGTTTAAAATTTATCAAGAAAAGTTATTCGAAAGACACAATGCATATTTTTTTTTTGACTTTAATGGGTTTAATAATGTGGCAGGTATTTTCATACTGTTTTAACATGTTGAAGTTTATTTGTTATAATATTTCAGTACGTGGTTAGTTCTAGGTTTTTCGAAACATGAATTATCGTTTCATCTGGATTAAAACGTCAGACACAAGAACGTTTGGCTGTTTCATAAGGGTTACATTAATTGAATACTAAATTTTCCTGATGCATTCTTTACAAATACTTACAGTACTGATGGCCTAGTTCCCATCATGCACCTCGTAACTTCTGTACTTTCCATCCTCTGTGCAACTCGTGCAATATCGGAAATTAATCACCCAGGCCTCAGCTACACCTGGGAGGATCGATAAGTACGCCATAAAAGAGGTTATATCATGGTCAAAGTCGCCTCTGTTGCGGTACTCCCTCTAGTGATAATGAGGGCAGTAAATTTGAATTTATTGATAAATGCTGTATTCTATTGGTTTTTGTAGCATATAAAGGAAACTTCGATATATTATGTTATTTTCTTTCATATTTTTAGGATTATCTCATTTCTTATAGATTATGTCCAATATAAATAACAACTAAAATTCTGCCATTCAAAACAAATCCCTTATATTATTTTGGGGTTTCACTCTTCGCGGACGATTCTACGGTCAAACGGGTAGAATATACGATGAACGTGAAGATGAACAATGCATTTAGTTTACTGATGTGGTGATAACTGGTAATATAATCGTAACTGTTTTCAATGATGTTGATTAAATATTAAGTTGTGTAAATCTGTATTTAAGAAAATCACACAACTTTTCTCTTTCATTGTCGTAAACCTTTTGAAAATTATGTGTTGTGTTTTAGCTATTTCTAGACAGAACATCGGAAGTGTTTACAGACATACTTTATAACATTATGTACCGTTTAAAAACCTTTGTAAAATTATGTGTTGTGTTTTAGCTATTTCTAGACAGAACATCGGAAGTGTTTACAGACATACTTTATAACATTATGTACCGTTTAAAAACCTTTGTAAAATTATATGTTGTGTTTTAGCTATTTCTAGACAGAACATCGGAAGTGTTTAAAAGACATACGCTATAACATATGATGTAGCGTTTAAAAACCTTTTTGTTGTGTTTTGCCTATTTCTACACACAAGGTCTGAAGTGTTAAGAAACATATGCTAGAGCATATGATGTACAGGTTAATATGTGTGCTGAAACTAGCAACAGGAAAGCTTTGGGATTACATTTCAATCTTAGTACATCTCCTGTTTCACGCAGTTTGAAAACAACCTAGAGAATTTCAAATGCTACAAAAATCTTATACATTTGTATTTGTTTGCAAAGTTTATTTTCTGTTGCTAATCTCTTTTTCTTTTTATGGTTTTAATCTATAAATTCAACAAGTAGAATTGTTTAACCGTGATTTCCTTTAATTGTGAGGCACATTTTCAAAATGCGTTCTGAGAAAGAGATGTGCTAATTTATAAGGCATTCTTCCTTAAGAGTTTGTAATTTTCTGTCATAAAAACAGCCACCTGCTGTCAATTTTTAGTTGTCTATCTAAATGCTTTCATTACCCTATTTTCTACAAAGCACTTTTGTTACCTACTGTGAACTAATATTCTGTAGTTGACAGTTCAACCTTTATAACACGAAGAAACCTTGAATTTTCAATTTAGATTGAAAAAGTTGAATAGCTTCAAAGTCTCTTATGGACTGAAAAAATATAAGGCTATACTACTTCAGTGAATGTTTCACATTTAATGTAGCATTAACTTCCGTCCAATGAAAGTCGAATTATCGATTTAGGTAGTTGAAAACTGACATTGTACGAAACTTCAGATCACAGTTGGTCACGTTATAGGTGTTAATACCTATAATAAGTTTTTTTCATGACATTAACTCGAGAAGTCAATCTAACACAAAACCATAAAAACCTTATATCTCCAGCGTATTTGAATGGTAGATCTTTCTTCATGAGAGAAAACTGGAAATCTGGTTCCCAGTTTGATCCCGATGAAAAAAGATCTACCTTTCGAAAGTGATCGGGTTGTAAGGTTTTGTAGTTTTTTGTTATATAAGCTTTTAGTGATTACCTATGGGATTTGTCATCATTGGAGCTATTATTGGTCAAGGTACAGTTGCTATTACCTTATACTAATTATGTTCTATATTTTATTTCCTTACTTGAGATGATATTGTAATTTATTACCTTGTATTGATTATATTGATAATTTATGTAGGTTATTACTTTATACGAGTTTATAATGGTCATTTTATGGATTTTATTACTGTATGTGAGTTTATACTAGTCATGTTATGGATATTATTACTTTATACGAGTTTATAATGGTCATTTTATGGATATTATTACTTTATACGAGTTTATACTAGTCATGCTATGGATATTATTACTGTATGTGAGTTTATACTGATCATTTTGTGAATATTATTACTGTATGTGAGTTTATACTGATCATGTTACGGATATTATTACTTTATACGAGTTTATACTAGTCATTCTATGGATATTATTACTTTATACGAGTTTATAATGGTCATGTTATAGATATTATTACTATATGTGACCTTATACTGATCATTTATACTGGTCGTATTATGGATATTATTACTGTGCAAGCAAAAGTACCCGTCTCCAGTGACGGGAAAAGTTTAAATTAATCTATCAATTTAAATTATATCGTGGACTTTAAAAAGGTTAGTTGTGTTGCACTTTTGGTTTCACTCAGAAACAAAGCTCTGAGCTACTCGCACCGCCCACCGCGAAAAGTAATTGTTGAGCATTTCAGTCATGCTAAGAGCCACTCAACAATAACATACGGTAAATTTACATTTTTATTCTTTAAGTTATGTTACATTTTGAAATGTGAATAATAGTGTGATTAATTCCTAACAACTTAGTGTAGAATATCCTGCTTGCGAAATATAATTTGGCATCAACATTATTCATGCATGTTCTACCGTTATTTCAAAAGTGAATGTTGAGCTTTGGCTGCTTGCGCAGCTTTTCAAACTTGAGATAAACGAACGCTCAGACAGACATCACTATTCGCAATATATATAAGATGTGTGTTTCTACTAGTCATGTTATGGATATTATTACCTTATGTGAGTTTATACTGGTCATGTTATGGATATTATTACCGTATGTGAGCTTATGCTGGTAATGTTATGGATATTATTACCGTATGTGAGTTTATGCTGGTAATGTTGTGGATATTATTACTATATGGGAGTTTGTACTCGTCATGTTACGGATATCATTACCGTATGTGGGTTTATACTGGTCATGTTATTGATATTATTACCGCATGTGAATTTATACTGATCATGTTATGGATATTATTACTATATGTGAGTTTGTACTGGTAATGTTATGGATATTATTGCTGTATGTGAGTTTGTACTGATCATGTTATGGATATTATTACTGTATATGAGTTTATACTGATCATGTTATGAATATTATTACTGTATGTGAGTTTGTACTGGTCATGTTATGGATATTATTACCGTATGTGACAAACTCACATACAATAATAATATCCATAACATGACCAGTACAAACTACTGGTAATGTTATGGATATTATTACTCTATGCGAGTTTGTACTGGTCATGTTACAAATAGTATGCTTTGTACTGTTTGCACATGTTACTATCGCATGGTCTCTCGCTGAAATTGTCTTTGCTTGACTTTTAACAACTTCAAACTGCAGCTTAAAATATTTAAAGGCAAAAAAATAAAGAAAAAAACATGATGAAACAATAGTAGAGCACAGGTTTTACTTTTACATTGAAGGGTATTTTGCTGTATACATCGTTGATGAAAAGGCCATTTCAAACAGAATCCAAGCACGTTAACACCGCTAGGCCACACCTGGCTCGGGTAGTTGGCAGATCAACTCGTTGTTCAAACCCTTTTGAAAACTAAGTTGTAGTTCTAAAACTATCCTCCTTCATTAATAATTCAACACATAAAATGTAAAGTAAAAATTTCGGATTTATTTGTGTCATTTACTTATCTAGTTGTTATTAACTTTATATTGCAACCAGATTGTTAATCCATCACTTACACTTGAAGTTTTATTTTTCCTGTACTATAATCTTTATAAAGATAAATTAATAATTAAGCTTCTAATACAACAATTTAAATACATTACTTACGTGTTTTCAGATGTTAAGTATAAAAGTTTATAATAGGAACATTAACAATATGACTGTCTTTGTTTTATTTATTATTTTTATAAATAGAGTCCTCTAGAATTGCCTCGGTCGCTTAACGAAGAAATCGTCGCCATCATTACACCATTACTAGAACGCACCACGCCATCACCAGAAATATGTGACTTCTTATGTCGGGTGAATACGCAAGTTTTAGTTTGATATTAAGATTTTACAGAAACGTGATATTATTGGTGGTTTATCTCTAAATAAGCTAAAGAATTTTATTAATTTACAAAACAATATTCAGATACGTTTTGAGTCTCGTTTCAATTAAAATTACAGATAATTACAATTACTTTTTTTAGCTTAATGAACGATGAAGTTTACCAGAAAATAAATTAAAATTAATATAATGTACAATACTTAGTGTCAACGTTGAAAGCTCTTATTGTATTCTTTAGAAGCCTGTGGCTGTGACTTTTATTTCTATGTCAGACATTTTGTTAGCAGAAACAGAGTTGATATCTTAATGTACGTTCGATTCAGAAGAGTGATATTCGACACACCAGCGAAAAAACAACTTTTAATCTTTTCTGTATTATTTTTATCATACTTCAACTGGTGAGTTGCCTACTCTGTAAACTGATCTCAACAGCGTACTCTGTTGAAAGTTATGTTCTTGCCACGTGATGATGCAAACACGTGGTGGGCTAAGAGAAAGTTGCATTTCTTGAAATATGTATTTACTAATACAGTTGGATAAAGTCAAAAGAAAACACAGCAACCTTTCTAGGAGTAACAACTATAAATGGGTACTTATTATTGCTGGAAATAAACGACCTTATAACACCAATATGTTGTTTTTTTTTTTTAATTAGACACTCTGTATGTTTACAGCTTCTTCAGGAGCGTTCACTAAAACACAAACCGAAACTGTAAAGCGAAACGTTGAGTGTCTAATTCAATAAAAGCAACATTTTGGTGTAATAAGGTCGTGTATTTCTAGTATTAATATGTCTTCTATACACCAATAGGCACTACAGAAATTAAATATTAAATGGGCACTGTTTTACGTTATTATTATTTGAATAAGTAAACTTGAAATTGACTGTTATTTCTACGCACAGTAACATATAAACACAAAGTTGCTTTCAATTTCTTAAACCATCTGATGGATAAGTTGAAACCTCTTTCTCTCTCTCTCTCACACACACACACACAACTAATTTTCTGCCAAATGAAGTCAAATATACGTACAAGTAAAAAAAAAGAAAAACGAAAATGAAAGAAAATGTGTGTCAGACTGAGAAAGACAAAAATAAATTATTACTTAAAATTATTCCTTTTTAAATAATCTAAAAATTTCATATCCGAGTTTTGAATAATATATATGTTATAGTTTTGGTATTATGAAAAACATAAAAATTGTCTAAAGCAAGTTTTACTATTGAGCACCTTTCAAACAGATACAAATGTCTTTGAAAGCGGTATTAGGTTTTCAATGATTATTCCGTTACTTATGTTTTGTGATTACTTTGAACGTTTAACCTCCTTTTCTTCATGTTCCTACTCTGCAGCACTGTCAAGAAAAACCACGTTCATACGTTGTAATGGAGCTTTTCACACCTGTCGTTCGTAGAATTCTCAAGCACACTTTGGTAAGATTTTCTTGTGAGTGTTTAAATATGTGGAAAAGCACCAGATAATAGGAAGTAGATTTAATCTTAATGGTAATATGAAATATGTCACAGTTCCAACAAAATCGAGCAATGTTGCCAGAATAGAGTGATAATGCTGTATTCTACATGATATACTCGCATTTTCTGCTTGCAATATTATGTTTGGACTATGTCAAGCAGGTTTGTGCTTTATTGAGTAAGTCGTACGTTTGATAATATGACAGTGTTTCAAATTCATTTAATGTGAAGAACAAAATATTGTGTATTTGTAGAAAACTGAAAGAAAATTGTGAAATAGTACTGAAGTTTACCAAAAATGTGTTTTGTTTTTTTACAATCAAACTTTGATTGTTTAGTACTTTATCAAAGGTTTTAGATAAGGAAGTTTAAATATAACACTGGCTTAGCAGAAATTCTTTTCATAAATAAAAGCTTCGATTCTCAAAATATTTATCCTAAATTTTATTTTAAATTCTTATTAAGTTCACGGTTGATTTTGTGAATATATATAATTATTCATTTGTTTTATATAGGACTTTGGAAAATATCCCAAAACACGAGTATTTGTTCAAGACTATATTCAAGCTTTGAACACTCAAAATGAAGGACTTACTGTTGTACGGAATTTTGTAAATAGGTAAGTGAAATTTGAAATTTATTAAATGCTATAAATTTTTTTCATATTTACACATCTGTACTATAACAAACTATTTTGGTGGTCTTGGCATTTTGTACATATGTTTTAGGAATTTGAGCTTATAATTTCGTATATTTCCAAAGCTTCTCTAAACTAATTTCAATGCAAACTGAGAAGCTCTTGGAACTGCAAAGTTTCTCTCTGAAGAATAATGTTGTTGTTTTTTACATAAATATTGGGCGCGGGTTGGACCTGTGGTAGAGCTTTGAATTTCGGGGCTGGTGAGCCGGATTCGAATCCGTGTGATACCGCAAAGTATTCCCCGCACTGCCGTGTATGCGTTATAAAGGTGGAAGTCAATACTTTAGTGAATGATGGTTGAAAAGGTGCTGGTGACTGGCTGTCTTTTCTATGGTCAGTAGTTCAAAATTAGGGATAACATTAATATCTTTGTCATGAATATAAATATACATTTACAATAATTTATAAATACAGAGGTTGAGTACGTTATATTAAAACGGTTTTGAAGCCTCGCCACATCGTTACAGTCCACGTTACCACATCCGGTCGTGATTCCACTGATGGCCGTGCATCTTGAAAATAGTCTTTAAGCATAGTTTCCATTGCAAAAATCTCTGTATTAAGTCTGTCGTGCTCAAAGTACACCCTTCTTTCATGCATGATTCCATAAGCCATTTAATAAACAAGAAGAAAGGTTTCAACATTCCGATCAAACACAAATCCAGCGACTTGGTTAGTATGTCGTCGTATGAAATAGCATAAATACTCGTCTCATTCTCCAGTTGATTGAGGTATGCGACGGCTGGACATATAGTGGAAGCAGCTTGTGTGCACATGATTTGTATCGCTTTTTCAGACGGATATCCTTCTTGTTTATGTTTGTACCGTGGCCTGGGGCACATGGACGGCTTTTGACATCGATCTTTGCGTTCATGGGTTATCTCTTTTATGAGACGCCATACTTTGCTTACCATTTTGGGGGGGACAATATGTTATAGGTCTTTTTCTGGATGGTTCTGGTTGCCCAAGTTGATTTATATTTCTTTTTCTTACAATATAATTAATTACAAGTGATATCCCCGTCTTGGAATTTTTAAACTACGATCTGGTCACATCTTTGTGGTTTGAGTTTTGAATGTTTTGCAGCAGTAAGGCTGTTACATACCCTTTTCAAAAACGATCAATTTATTGCGGCATCACACTACCTGCGTCACACCAAATAATGCCAAATGCAGTTTTGATACATGCCATTCCACCACGACTTCATATCCGTTGCAGTTGTCACGTGACTTTTTATTTGTATATTCCAAATTGTTTTAATATAACGCATTCGACCACTTGTATATGAAAAATGTGAAGGTGATAAAATAGAGAATTCGTTGTTTGTTTGTTTTTTTGTTATTAAGCACAAAGCTACACAAAGGGCTACCTGTGCTGCTCTGCCCACCACGGGTATCGAAACCCGGTTTCTAGCAGTATAAGTCCGAAGACATACCGCCGTACCACTGGGGGGGGGGGGTAAAATATAGAAATTATACTTTTAGAGAAAATTCATCTTGAAAAAGACCGTTTGCTTAAAACGTCGCTAAGTAAATAAATCATAACCACAGTTTGTAAAGGTGATTTTTCTCTAAAAGTTTAACAACTGTATGTCATGAACGTGTGTTTGTTTGTTATGGATTTCGCGCAAAGCTACACGAGGGCTTTCTGCGCTAGCCTTCCCTAATTTAGCATTGTAAGATTAGAGGGAAAGCAGCTAGTCATCACCACCCACCGCCAACTCTTGGGCTACTCTTTTACCAACGAATAGTCGGATTGACCGTCACATTATAACGCCCTCATGGCTGAAAGGACGAGCATGTTTGGTGTGACGGGGATTCGAACCCGCGACCCACAGATTGCCAGTCGAGCGCCCTAACCACTAGGCCATGCCGGGCCTTTGATGAACGCATGTTAAGGTTTTCATAATTTGTGCTCAGAATATTTATTCCAGGATTTTACGACGTCTTAATCTTGAATTTTTGACAATAGTGTCATCAGGTTTTTCTAATTTCTAAAAATAGAACAGGTAATTACATATATACTGACGTTTCTCTTTTACATAAGGCTTATATTCGTATACAATATTATCACCAGGGGCTAGAACTATTTCTATTGGTAAACTTTCACTTTTGTAAAATATTATCATCTGTCTGATACAACATCTACAAACAGAGAATTTGTAATTTGACGCCATCTTTATCTTATTAAACAGTATCCACGGGCCTTCAAGCACATGTCCTCACCCACGAGTTCTCCCTAACTTAGTATCTGTATGTCTTGCAGCTGTTTATTCACTTTTTGAAGAACTAAAAAAGTAAGTGTTCAACATTGTTTGTGTTTATGAGCTATAAAGTGTACAGTATATTTAGTTATTTGATAGTCTTTGCTGTTTGTTACCTTAAAAACAACAACAACAAATGAACGTATAATTGTTCAAGTTTTTCAGGTTTCTGAGAATTTGTAAAGTTTGAAAACTATACGTTGCAACAGCTCTTCGGCAATCGTTATTTTCGTCAAGAACACTGGTGACTAATATTTCAAGGGAAATATACACTTGTGATTGTTAGGATAATTCCACAGTTTGTTGAATTGGAGGTTATGTAAGCAAATATATACATTTATAACTTTCGTTCACCACTCTTCTGATGTCACTATAACTGTGTGTTATTGGCCTCTACCGGTAACAAGAGCTTTTGATCATTACCAGATTCATCAGACACGTTGACTTACAACATTCAAATATTTAGTTGAAGCACTATTTGTATCAGCCTTCTAAAAGACATTAAAATTGAAATTATACCCTTCTTATTGGAAACCAGTATTTGGCCACTAAAGACAACATTAATTCAAATTGTTATCAATGTTATTGTGGTGTCATATCACACGTATTATAAATTAAACCATAACCGTAGTTTATAGCTGAAGCTACTGGTGTTTGATGCTCAATTTATAACTGTTATATGTTTTATCAAAATAATTTTGCAATTTAGCTATGAAGAGACTGGACTTTATGATTTTATTTCTGACCGAATGTGAAATATAGATTAATTTTTTACATGGCTTGTCAAAAAAAAATAATAATTAAGTGGTGAATTATAATTCATTTTTGTGAAAAGTTTAACATCAGTTATTAAATCACGAGTTGTATGAAACGTTATTGTTATCGTTTGTAGTTAAGCACAAAGCTACGCGATGGGCTATCTGTGCTCTGCCCACCACGGGTATCGAAATCCGGTTTCTATAGTTGTAAATCCGCAGACATGTATGAAACGTAACTAGATGAGTTTATTCCTTGATTTATATTAAAACTGACGAAAGCGAGTGTTTTGGAATCCGCGTCTGGTGATTAACGTAATATTAAATAAACCTTTAAACTGTATTTATATATTAAAGATTTCTTTTCTTTTTCACCAGAGGTGAAATTGAAAAGAGAATCTGTCTCGTAGAAGTCTAATGCATTCTTTGATTGGCCGTACCCTTTGACCCAAGCTGTGCTGATGAGCCTTGAATGGGCGAAACTGCAGTCCACAGCAGAGGGTACGACGAATCAAAGAATGCATTAGGCTTATACGTCACAGATTCTCTTTTCAATTTCACCTTCAGTAAAAAAGAAAAGAAATATTTAACATATATATATATATATATATATACAATCATTAAACAATTGGCCCACTGTATGATATCGAATAATGAATTTGACGAAATGTCATAACATTATTCATATACCTAAATTAGTTTAGAGTACTATATGGTGAAGTAAAACGGACTCAAATCACCATAGAAACCTTTGAACTGTTGTGTTTAAGTTTTCGTTTAAATATAGCTGTGAGCTTGGTAATAAATATTTATCAAACGGGAGATCCAGATGCTTTTCGGGTGTTATCGGCGCAACTGTCTATTTTTGAAATAACGTTTGATGGTTTTCCGGCATTTTACATTATAACTCCACCCCACGCCCTTTATGTGAGTTTTTGTAATTTGATTGTTTTTCATAACTGTTTTATGGTGTTGAGGGTGTTTTATAAAATAACTCCACCTTCCTTGGCGTAAGTTTTTGTGCTTCGATTGTTTTTTTATTGACGGTATTTTATAACTGCACCCACACCTCATCCCCTTTGGAATGAAATTTTATGCTCTGCTTGTTTTTCATATCTGTGTTATGGTGTTGATGTTATTGTTTATATTGTGGTTTTGATTTAACTTTGACCGAGAACTACTAAATCGTATTATCTTTATTGTTTCAGTTTCACACTGGCAGAGAAGAATGATTCTAATCGTGAAATGTCTGACTGGGAATCACGCCATGATAGTTTTGCAGCAATCATCGAAGCCATGTGAGCCCTCTATAATATTTAACTTGACAGTAATCACTTTTTATTGCGTCTACATCTTCATATTACAACAAGCTAATGGTAAATCTAATAAGTAATTACAGAATAAACAGATGCTTTATTGAATGTCGAAGTCGTCTGATCAGATTCTACGAGAATTAAAATATTCGAACCCGTTGCGAATTTTGAGAAGTAGAACATATTCAAGTTAAATATTTTAACAATATTAACTGCAATTCATAAAGAATATTGTTATAAGCACTGTAGTGTTTGACAGAAATTTTCAAGTTAGAGAACATGGCATATAAAAGTGCTAATTCAGAAAAAAATGTGAAAACAAAGTGAACTTCACTTGCGTTATCTGTACCTTCTTTTATATGTTGTCACCCAATGGCACAGCGGTATTTCTGCGGACTGACAACGCTAGAAACCGGGTTTCGATATCCGTGGTGGGCAGAGCACAGATAGCCCATTGTGTAGCTTTGTGCTTAACTTTAAACTAAAATAAACTAAACTCTTCTATATGTTGCGCACAAACTGTAATACGTTTATACTACGCTCACATTACAAACACAAAATATTCCCACGTACCAGAATGTACACTAACTTGAACAACTATATGCATCTATTTATTATATTTCCACTGAGGCCATAACTTTGGTGTCAGACCAACGAATTATATTAAAACTTTAACCTCATGTTAACTGTTACACCGTTTTCGTTTGGATATCTATAAACTGAGAATTGAGAGGAAGGATTGAAAGTCATTTATAAGTATTCTACACTAGCTTATTACAAATCTGTGAAACATGTTATTATTGATGCCATTCAAATCTACATCTTTATGTTTCATATATCATTTGTTTTTGTTTGTTTGTAGTTAAGCACAAAGCTACACAATGGGCTACCTGTGCTCTGCCCACCACGGGTATTGAAACACGGTTTTTAGCGTTGTAAGTCCACATACATATCGCTGTGCCAGTGGGAGGGGGGGCATTCGTTTTAACCAAATCACTTGAAGAATTTTCAAACAATTTTCAATTACTTGTAAAAAAAATGATGCACAGGGACAAATATTGATTGCCCCATTTCGCTTGCTAGTTTACAATTAAGTTCTAATGGATTAGAAACTTTTAAATATTTGTTTGGCGGTATACAATAGTAAACATCTCAATCATTTATATGTACTCGTATTTAGGTGTTATTTTGCACTTGAAAAGATATGTTATATATATATATATGAGTGGCGAATTAACCATAAATCTTTTATCTGTTGGAAATTATAATTTTTAAGAACTCTTGCACACCAACTGACATTACCTAACACATTAACATAGACGTTAACTTGGCTATCACAGTATTTAGTAGCGCGTGCATTCACTGCTTGCTGCTTTATGTGTACGTTTATTTATTTTTTTTCTCTCACCACGTGAGTATGTCCGTGCATGTGCAAGAAAGTTTTCTCTACAGATCTTTACACACTCTCTTCTAAAATAGAAATAAAATACACAAACCGTTCACATTCCATATTATTTGTTTTAGAAAGATGTTAGCTAAACAAACAATTGTTTTAGTTTTATAATACTATAGCTGATAATAGTAACTACTTCACATGTACAAATAAACGCACAAAATACACATACACACATGAATAAATTTAGGGTACTATATGATAAAATAAAATGGACTCAAATCACCATAGAAACCTTTGAACTGTTGTGTTTTTATAACTGATTATCTATCTAGATAGACAGACATTTATCAAAGTAGCAGAACCTAAGATGATATAGGACTCAGTATTAGATAGCCTTTAGTCTAAAACAAACTTTAAAATATTTCGTTTTTAAAATACTGATTATTAAAAGCTTATTATCTTGAACTAAACGGCTCGCATGAACTACAAATAATCGAACCCTATAATTGAAGAGTACATTCCATTTAACTAAAGTAAAAGTAGAAAAAAAATGTTATTAAATACCTTTCATCAATCAATTTAAAGTAACCCAAATTAACTTATAATGAAAAGCAAACTACTTACTTTGATCAGAACTAAAAATTAATTTATTAATGGAATATAGCTAACTTAATATACTGTTCTTATTTATACTGATTAAAATGCATTGTTTCATCAATTAGGTACCCTCGCTGTTAGCTAAATTTTCGGCCGTAATCCCAGTAATACCTCATGAGGTTTGGCCAGGCTAGGAATTAAATTTAGTTCCAAATCTATTATAATAAGCTAACACTGCAAAATAATCATTATTATAAAACATATAATAATGAAAAGTTAAAAGTAATAAAAATAGATATATTAAACGCTCTAACGAATACTGTTATTGAAACTAACATTAAAGAACGACTAGAATGTACCTTACTTACAGAACGTACCAACTCGTGTGGCACATGCTACGTATTAATTCTATGTAATTTACTTTCGTTTTTTACTACCCTTTGTTGTTTTTCGTACTCTTCGTTTACTTTTTTATATCTGTGTTTTTTTCTTTACATTGTGTTTTGTTTTCAGTTTTCTGCGGTTATTGGTTATTCTTTATGATGTTATTATTAAAACTGTTGTTGTGTTTTAGTGCAAAGCTACACAAGGGGCAGTCTGTATTCTGCCCACCACGGGAAATCAAACCCGGATTTTGGCGTTGTAAGTCCGTAATCTTACCGTTGACCTACCATTATTTAAATTCTGACTGCATTCTTTAAGTGTTTTTTTTTTTTGCTTTTCTTTTTCAGAGTAGAGCTAAGTGAGGTACTTGCGTTAAAAGTTTTTGAAGACACTACTTTGTAGTGGTTTCAAGTCAGTGTATTTTCGTTGGTCTTGCACCTGTACATGTATGAATCAAATACAGTCAGAAACAACATTACGCAATAATGCATCTGTGTAATCCATCTCTAGAAAATCGAACGCAATGGTTGCTGAGCCCTTGAGTCCTGGGCTCAGACTGTATGTGTAATAGTACAACTCGGACAACGTAGATAGGCTTGTGCTATTTATAGCAACATCGAAGAACGATGTGCTGAAAAGTATCGATAGCGAGGAGAACGGTTGCGCCATAATAAGACCTTAAGAGTGGCTAAAAAGGGCTTTTTATGTGTGATTGTAATATCATTAAACCTTGAGCAACAGTACTTCACGCCATATAAGTTTACAGCGCTAATTATGTGTTTTCCAAGACTGACTTAAAATAATAAGGCGTTTCTTAGGAAGACGGACTCTTTTTATGTCCAATTTACAAAAATAACTAAATTATCAAGAAGAACAGTAAATTAGACATAGACTTCTAGCTAGAAAATACAGTCATCGCCAGCATAATGTGTTTATTACAAACTGGAAATGTCAAGAATCCAATTTTTTTTTTGTCACATGACACACATCCACACGTCCGATCTTTATAATGGAGTACATTTTCCCCATTATTTGTGTTACTGGAATTGATTTAATACCTTAATAAGCTATTATGTAAAATTCCGCATGTGATTGCTTTAATATTCAAGTTTTGCATCATATATACCTTCTTTTTAATAAGTTTCACTTCTATTAAGTAAACATTCTCATATTAAAAATATTAATGTTATGCGATAGCTCAGTTTAAGTTATATATATGTTGTAAATGTTCATGTTGTTGGTTTTTTTTAACTTAAAAACTACAGAATGAGCTATCTGCGGAAATCGAACCCCAGATTTCAGCGTTGTAAGTCCAGAGACTTACTGCTGACCCACTAGGGACACAGACCAATTCTAGCATTCATTATAATATTAATTATAATATACATTCTGTAAATTAGATTTTACCAAAGTTTAACTCTGTACAGATTGAAATAGATAGAATAAATAAAATAAATAAAAACAGTTTTATGATCACATTTAATATTTTTTAGTTCTGTTTTTGTTCGTAAAAACATTAATATTAAAAAGTATATCTTTACAAATATTTATTTTATTGTTCTAGATCTAACTTTGACGATTGGCGACCTGGGTTAGCACAATTGCTACAACCTATTCCTTTTCCAGATGAGTGAGTTTGATTACGAGTTTTAATTTGCTTTATTTCCAGAGCTTATGGAAGAATAAAATTAAAAGGCACCTTTTTCTTTTTTTACATTTTATTAGTATGAACTTGTATGATATTTTGCTGTCGGTAATGTATGTAGAAAAATATTTGAAAAATGTTATACATCTATATTAATACTCAATCTTAATGGCATTCAGATAAAAAGTATATTTGTTTATTGAAATTCAGTGCAAGTATTAGATCGAACAAGCAACAAGAATATTATTTATGGGGTGTGTGCACCAGCGTCATATTGTTCTGTTAAAGCAGGTGGATAAAGCGATTTCATTAATCTCGTAGAAGATTTGGTATCTTATCAACTGTTCGTGATTGATTATTAATATATAATGTTAATACTTATAGTTTCTCAGATAAACGTAGCATTTGTAACTGTAGCTTTATTATTTATATCTTTATTCAATACAGAATCATGAAAAAGGTATACAAAAACATAGGTTTCATAAATAACAATCTCATATGCTGAGTAAATAATATTTTACAATTAAAGTGATAAACCATAACTTTGTAATTTTTTTTCCCTTCAGTGCCTTGGCATATGACAGATTTACCAAGTAAGTCTTTTATACACCAGGTAAATATTCTATACATTGATAAACTAAAGGAATAATGTGGGAAGAATCAGCTTCTAAAAGTTATGTATAAGTTATGTATTACCTCAGTTAAATTTAAAATGTTTTTGTAGGTCATATATTAAAAACTGTTCTTTCCATTACTAGGCCATTATGTATACTTAGATTAAAAGAAGTAGTATGATTATCAAATATAAGTTTTTGTTGTTTAAGTAACACCAGTTTTGATAGTGTCCAATAATTGAAAACGCTAAAAACATTTCTAGATACTTGTAAAAATGTAATAAGTTCTGGGATTTGTGTTGTATATATATTTTTGTTAATTTATAAAGTTACAGCCATAAAGGTTAAGTAACCATAAAAGAAAAATTATTTACATATTTGTTAAACGAAAAATTGAGAAATCACTGAATGCATAATTACACATTTTTAATTTAAATAACTTAATGTAAGAAGTTGACCAGTCATCAAATTTTACATAATTTAAAATAACCAAATACTAAAAAATACTTAAAACTCAAAACCAAATTACTTCTAAAACAGTAATAGATATTTCTATATGAAAAAAATATAAACTTTCTCTAGAGAGGATTAAACATGGTAATATCCTTAACAACAAAAATGAAGTGGTAAACACAGGCCTGATAAATAGTTAATAATCTGTTAGAAACAGATGCTCTATAAGGAAGGTCTATCATAAGCGTCGACATCCTCTTTTGTAACAGCCAGATTGGTCTTGGTGCACCAAAGTGTTAGCTCCAAGCACTTTAACAATAAGTCATTTGAATAGAAGATGGTATAATAAATTTGATAGAGGACCTGCAGCAGAAAAGCCCTCTTACACCATATCATTATATAGACTACTCTGGTGAGCTTTTTAGAAATCATTTCAATTTGATCATCCTGTCTCATATTATTCTGAATAATAACTCTAAGAACCTTTATTGAGTCAACCCTGGATAGAGTAATGTCATTATAACTAAAATCCTCATTTACCTGTTCCCATGATATAATCAGACATTTAAAGCCAGACAGTTGTCAAGAAGCCTGGTAGCAATAGAAAACAACTCATTATTCGCTATTTTGAAACAGTCAGCAAGAGTATCAGCCTCTATAGTAAGAGTCATATTGTCGGCATACAGATTGCAAGTATCATTTGAATGTACCAAAATTAAACCATTTACATAAATAATAAATAAGAAGGGGCCAAAGGATTTAAGCCTTGAGGAATCCCACAGTGAAGACTACAGAAGTGGGACTTTTATTCTGTTAATTGTGGTGTAACATTGCTTATTTATCAGGTAAGTTTTAGGAATATCATAAAGATTACCACAATGAGCACATAGTAAAACTGTATGATTTTTGCTGTCAAATGCCTTGGCAATATCTAGAGCACAAAACAAAAGAGATTGTTTGGCCTCACAAGCCTTGTAGTAATTGCCAATAGACACTTTTCAGTAGGTTTATGTTATTGAACATAAATTGTGAGATACTTAAGACTTTATTGTTCTGGAGAAACATAATAATTCTATCGTATAATATATACTCAACAATACAAGTGAATGCAGATAAGATGAAAATACGCCAACAATTTTTCCACATGGCCAGGTTCACTACCCTTGAAGATGGATACAAAGTTAGCAATTTGAAGAATCTTAGGAAATTTGCCACTAATACATAATTTATCAACAAGTACAGTTAATAAGTAATGTATTGCTGTACTTGTTGATAAGTTACATAATTACAGTTATACATAACTTATCAACAGGTACAGTTAAGGGATCAATAATTTGATCACAAGCAGACTTAATCACTGAGTGTAAAACTTCATTCAATCCAGCAGATGCGTTAAAGAGTGCCTTAATGGCTTCATGAATTTCTGTCACAGTTACGAGTGCAAAATAAAGAGACTGAGCTACAGGCTTATCCTAACATTATAATGTTAGTGAGAGTAACAACTTGCCTAGAAAAATAATTATTAAACAATATTAGCAGTACTAGCAGGATTGGTAACACAAGAACCTGCATTATTACAACTACATGTAATATTGATGTTCCTTTCTTTAGTCCTACTAAGTTGTTTGTTAATGGATCACTACATGCAACGAGAGTCCTCATCCTGAAAAAATTTGTCAAAATACTTAGCTTAGTGATCGGTAACTTGACACCAAACAAGCACATTAAGCTCCAAATATTTATTGCAGATCCAAAGATTATCCATATGTTTAAAGTGATGCTAGAGTCTTTGCTTACATATAATCATGTATAATAAAATTATAATCATCTTGCATTATTCAGTTTAACAAACAGAAAAGATGATTATACAGTTTACAATAATACTCTAGAAAAGAGGAAAATGCTAAATCGACATTAGGTTGTCCATCTATAATAGGCTTCCAATTAACATCAATTAAGGCAAGAATAAAATTCTTCATTGTGTCAGCATTAATGAGTCTTTTCTGTATAGCTATAAACTTTGGTGGAATTACTGACACAGCAAAGGATAAAGATAACACATAATGATATGAAATATCATAATAAATATCAGGAATTACATCACAACAACTTAAGAGTTTTGAAAGAGTGAATTGAAATCTATCTTGGTGATGATCATGAATCAAAGAGAAAGTAGAATTCCCAAATAGATAATCTTCTCTTATTTGCTCTATTTCTCCCTTTTTTTTTTTAAGTACAATCAATCTATGATAATGTTTTTGAATTGCATATTATATGTTAGGATTTTCTAATTTTCTTTATAACTTTATTTTGCTGGTTTGAAGTTCTGAAATTATCCCATACCTTTTAGTAAAAAATAAGATTAAAATGGGATATAAAAGAATTATTAAAATATGCCAATGTTTCATTTAAATTAAGACATCATCAAGACAGTTTTAAATAACCTATTTTAGCTGTTTTTTACCTAATTTATTTTGCTAGTGTTTTGTGATTATTAGTACTTAAAAAAGTAGCTGTATTAATCCCTGTATAAAGTATTGCTGAAAGTAGTTGCTAAAACCACCATTTTGATTTTGTGATATATATATGTATATGTATACATATATATATATATATATATATATATATATAACATATATATACATTTCTATATGTTGTTTGTTTACATTTACTATTTA